ACTTGGGTCCTTGTGCCTGCGAGGCATGCTATTTCAGGTTATTCTTATTAGAGCATCATTTTTTGGTCCAAATTCTAGAGGGCTGTGTGATATGAAACAGGACTTAAGGATACAAAGAGAAATATCACTAACCTCATATTCAATGGGTCTAAAGATATATGACCTTAGAAAGTGGTAAAGGTAGATTTTTTTATGGCTCTGTAGAGTATTTAAATTTTATTTCCATCGGATCCCTATGGCAATTTATTATTTTATGCTTTCATCTTTATGGTTGTTTCAAAATTGTGATCTATCATATGTTGCCACTGTAGCAACATTTAATCAAAAGCATAATAAAATTATGCTTATCTCCAAAGAAGGCTTCTATATGATACAAATTTAATTTCTAGTCATGTTTTTGGATGTTATGTGCTTCATATGGTTTGAATTTAAAATCAGAGTTAAATATAAACTCTTTAAATTCTATGGAATATACTATTGAATTATAGGTAAAAATAGCACTCATTGAGCTGTAAGTACCTTGTGATTACAGATTTATAGTATAAAATATTCATTATATTTCTAGAAATTCTTTTAAAGTAAATAAAATACAATTTTTCAAAAATTATTTTCTTCTTTTATTTGTATTGTATTTTATTTGATTCATTATTATTTTGTTTAGGAGAGCAAGAAAGTGCATTAATTTTTTTGCCACAAATAAAACTGTACAAAGTTACAATGTTTTGGATATGAGACTCAGATGAATATATTAATATAAATCATTACTAATGGTTGAACTCAGCTGAAGAGAATGCCATAGAATAGGTGACCAGTTACAAATGTTATCCTAATTGTTTATTCATTCTCTTTTGTAAAAGGCTTTTAAGTAAAACTATGTGAAAAAAATCAATAAAAATGTAATTCAGAGGAGAAAATGTCTAAAGGTGTAGGGGAAGTGGGAAGGGTAGGGAAAGGAAATAAGGGAAAAGAAAAAATATGAGACAACAAAAAACGGAAACAAGGTCTTTGTAAGTAAGGGAGCATGGAGGGGGTGAAGGGAGGGCAGGGACAAGGGGGAAAAATGAGAACCAAGACCTGTCATGTAAAGGTACAAGGTCCCAGTGATGAATGTAACTGTACTGTCTACCTAAAATGTACCAATAAACTCAATGAGGAAATAATAAAATAAAAAGGTAATTCAGAGGAAAATAGTAATTTCTCATGAAAGCCAGGTGAAGTCAAAGATGAAATGATGCTTGATAATGGTCCAATTTATCTTATAATTTTAGGGCATATTAACAATTTTTGAAAAAAATGCAATACTAAATTTTCACTAAATGACTGCTCTATGTGTGAACACGTAAAAATTTAAAAAGTAGAGCTAGGACTACAACGTATTTTTTTCCATTTTTTGTCTTTTTTGCTATCTGAAAACTTTCTATATTGAGAGAAAGTTATGGACGCTTTTTGATATCTTTTAAAAATTGGTTATCTCTTTAATTTCTATGACTTTTTAAACTCCATATTCTTTTTTTGGGGGGGAGTTTATTGGTACAATCTAGGTATACAATACAGCTACATTCATCATTGGGATCCTGTACCTTTAAATGACAGGTCTTGGTTCTCATTTTTCCTCTTGTCCCTGCCCTCCCTTCACCCCCTCTTTCCCTCCCCATTTACAAACACTTTATTTCCATTTTTTTCAGTTTCTCATATTTTTCCCTCTCCCTTATTACCTTTCCCCCACCCTTCCCACTTTCCCTACACCTTTAGCCCTTTACTTCCTATTTCACATTATTAATTATCTCATTGGGATCCTGTGGACTATTAGTTTTTCACACCAGAGAAACTATTCTGTACTTCAGTTAATGAAATCTCTGTATGAACATTAAAAATAGGGAATCCTAAACTAAAACTAAAAAGGAAAGTAAAAAAGGCAATGATGTAACATGAAAATGATCCTTAATTCTAAACTCCATATTCTGAAGAAGAATTTGTTGAAAAATAATTTCTCTTCGTATAACACTTTCTCAGGACTGCTGTGATCATCTCCAGTGTAACTAGATTTTATTTCAGGCCCCAAAAGTTGAGGAAGCTGTGGTAGAGATATAGTTGACCTTTTCAAAACTTCATAGTGCAGATATTGGCTACCTTGGAGGACCATTCCTTTAATACTAATTATCAAATACACTGTTTTTGTTGCTATTGTTACTTCTGTGGATAAAATAGAATTCTGTGAATAAAAATAGATGTGTTTATTTATATTTTTTACGTTTTAATGAGATAAAAGAAATTTTCAGATTTTCCCTCCCAGCTATTCAAAATCATCATTAATGCCTACTTAATAAGAGTTTAAAGAGATAAAGAAATATGAAATATATTCTTATTTTGAATACTAAAGCAACACAATATACTAAGTCTACAATGAGTCAGCAAGTTAAATTTTCCACTTTAAAAAAAATCATTCTGTGTCTTGTGTACACTTATTCAATGAATGTCATCAAGTACCTACAATATGTGGAAGTCATCATGTCATTTAGATCTTTCATTTACTGATATAAACCTGAATATTATGTTCCCAAAATCTTACAATGGTTCTTTTAGTCCTTTGCATTCACCTCACACGTGTCCAGTTCAGTACTCATAGAGAATTTTGTGAACTTTTCAGAGCTTTCTATTTATCCAGCTTTTATAATTATTTCAGTGTTTTCTCCAAGAATTCAAGATACTCTGTGCTCTCTCAAATCCAAACTCTTGGTTCTTAAGTCATCAACACTATTGGGTTGTAATTAAACATTACCTTTCTGTTTTTTGGCCTAAAAATCCACTCTTCTTAGTAACATCTGACAATCATAGGACTGTGTTCCTGTTTTCATAGGAACTGGCATCAATTGATGAGTGCCTTAAAATTTGTTGTTTATGTATTTTCATTATTCTAATTGTCTTCAGAGGAACAATATTTGTCTTATCTTTGTTACTTCATCACACTGAGAAATACTAAAGCTGTGGCCACAGACGAATTGCACATTACCTTTTCATTAAATACGTTTGTTATTATATTAAGGTTGTTATGATGTTGTGATTGTGGAATATATGTTTTAATACACATTTTTTCATAATTCCTTTCTCAATGCATAGTGACACAGTTATTTTTTCCCAAACTAAATCAAGAAACTTTTCTCATCTATATACATTTATATGCAAAACAGGCATTATTTCTTTTTCTGTTGCTCACTAAAATTCTCCAATAAAACCAGAAAAAAAGACTGTGTTGTGGGACAAGTAGCTTCCGTTTCCTCTAAAAGTGCATCTCTGCTTGATTTCTAGGGCCAGTCAGAGGAGTGTGCAGGGCTAGTGTGCTCTCCTCTGTTTCATATCTCACTAAGTAAGGAGTATGGCTGGCTCAGGGACCCCACCCCTCTGACACTCACTGAAGACAATTGGCTCCATGGTTACATTGTGACATCCCAGGCAACCAGTCATGAAATGGCCTGAGCAAGTCCCTGGGCCTCCAGAAAGGAGACAGCATCCATAGGCTGAGGACACCGGTGCTCCAGTGGATCGGGGGCACCCTGCTAGCTTCACCAAGTTGACAGCTTAAGAACTTCAGAATCCTGTGGCTTTAATACTTCCAGAGAGACCTGTTGACACAGAAAGTGGCCCAGGTAATCTTTCTTTATTTTGGTGAAGCAAAGGAGATCAAGTGCAGACATGTTTACTCCACATGAAATGGAAAATCCATCAGTGATTTTTGACAACGGTTCAGGACTGTGTAAAGTGGGAATGTCTGGCTTTGATGGACCCATCCATGTTATCAACTCTGTTGTGGGTCACCCTAAATTCAGTATACCCTCAGCAAGGGCCGGTGGAAAGAAATACTTTGTAAGTGAGGAAGCCCAATGCATATATGATGCCTTGTATGTACACTACCCTATTGAACGTGGGATAGTTACGAGATGGGATGACATGGAGAAACTCTGGAAACATCTTTTCAAGTGGGAGCTGGGAGTTAAACCAAGTGAACAGCCAGTTCTGATGACTGAACCCTCCTTGAACCCGATTGAGGCTCGAGAGAAGACCGCCGAAATCATGTTTGAGAAATTCAATGTGCCTGCCTTCTATCTGTGTAACCATGCTGTAGCAGCACTCTATTCCTATGCCTCTGTCACTGGCCTGGTGGTGGACAGTGGAGATGGGGTCACTTGCACTGTCCCCATCTTTGAGGGTTACTCCCTGTCTCACGCAGTCACTAAGCTCTATGTGGCAGGGAGGGACATCACAGAGCATCTCATCAGGCTCCTCCTGGCCCAAGGATATACCTATCCTTGCATCCTCAACAAGGCCGTGGTGGATGACATCAAAGAGAGGATGTGCTACGTCTCCTTGGAACCAGAGAAAGAGCTACACAAGAAGCGGCAGGAGGTATTGACAGAGTACAAACTGCCAGATGGGAATATAGTCGACATTCGGGATCATCTGTGCCAGGTACCTGAGGTGCTTTTTTCTCCAGACCAGCTTGGCATCCATGCCCCAGGACTCTCAAAAATGGTCTGCAGAAGCATCATGAAGTGTGACATGGACATCCAGAAGAGCCTTTTTGCCGATGTTGTGCTCTCCGGGGGCTCCACACACTTTCCTGGGCTGGAGGAAAGGCTCATGGAAGAACTGGAACAGCTAGCTTCTGGAGGAACCCCAATCAAGATCACAGCTTCTCCTAATAGATGTTTCTCTGCATGGATTGGTGCATCCATCATGGCTTGTATGAGCAGTTTCAAGCAGCTGTGGGTCACCTCTGCGGATTTCAAAGAGTATGGGAAATTCGTGGTCCAGAGAAAGTGCTTCTAAATAATAATGAACATGGCCGTTGGAGGACATCTCGAATGCTTATTACAGGCTTAGCAGCAAGACATAACATCCCTCCTACTTCGGTCGTATGGTCAATAAAAGAGCTGTCCTAATTCAGATTTCAATTTGTTTTAGTTGGCTGTGTCTGCAATATTGTTGTATGAGTACTTATTCACGTTGCTGCTCAGTTCTTGTGGGTATGTACCTAGGAACAGAATTTCTGGGTCATATACTAATTATTTTAAACTTTTTAGGACCACCAAATTGCTTTCCGAGGAGCTTATCCATTTTATATTCTCATTACCAAAAATGAGTCCATTTTATTTTTTTTCCTTAGGCACCATTATTATTTTGGTTTTTTGAATAATGGACATTTTAATGTGCATGAAATGGTATCTCATTGTGATTTAGATTTGCACTTCTCTGCTAATTGGTGATGTTCTACATCATTTCTACGCTTGTTTGCTGTTTCAGTTCTACTTGGAGAGATGTCTGGTCATTGATTGGCTCATTATTTTATTGGGTCATTAGTTCTTTAGCTGTTGGTTTTTTTGGACTTCAGACTGGAAATTAAACTGCTATCACACTTGTGAGTTCTTTTCCTTTTGTTAATTACATTTTTAGTCTAGTAATTGTTTATGTCAATAACATTTAATTTTAATGAGGTTTATCTTTTCAATTTGGGGCATTTGATATCATATTTAAGCAATTATTAGCAAATTTGAAGTTATGAAGATTTGCCTGTTTTATTCCAAAAGTGATATGATATTAGCTCCTTAGTTTAGATGTTTGAACCATTTTAAGATCTTTTTTATACAAGGTATAATAATGAAACCTCCATCTTCCTTTTCTTTGCATGTGGATAACCAGTTTTCCTGACAACATTTTCTGTAGGAATTTCTTTGCCTAATGTGGAATCTTGATACCCTTGTTAAAAATGAATTGTACATATAGATATGTTTGTAGACTCCATTCAATTTTGTCGATCTTTATGCATATCTTTGTGATATTACCACAAAATTTTGATCACAGTAGCTTTGTAAACTTTGCAGTGGGCAGTGTTAATCCTCCGACTTTGTTTTGCTTTTATAAAATTGGTTGTATTATTTAATGTTCTTTGAAATTCTATATGAATTTCAACATAGATTTATCCATTTCACTTATAAATATCATACATATTTTAATAAGCAATGTATTGAATTTTTATACCAATCATGTTGTGTAGTATTGTCATCACAATAATCCATGTTTCACATCACACATATTGATTATGGTTTTTCTTTAAGTAGTTCTTTAGTTTATTTTGTACTATTTTACATTTTTCTAGGTATAAATCTTATTTCTCCTTGTTTAAATTTATTCTTGATTATTTTTTCTTTTTGGTGATATTCTAAATTTAATTCCTTTTCAATTTCATTTTCAGGTTCATCTTTAATAATGCATATGAATAAGCCAATATTTGCATGTTGATTTCATATGCTCCAATCTTGATAAAATGAATAATTTTAATGTGTGTGTGTGCATGTGTGCATATGTGTTTGAGTGTTTTCCACATGTAAGATCACGTGGCCTGTAAATAGAGATAATTTTGCCTCTTCCTTTACAGTTTGAAAGCTTTTATGATGTTACTATGTCAGATTTTTCTGTGTAAAATTTCCAGCCCTAGATTGGACACAAGGGGAAAAACAGACATTGTATTTTTTTCCAAAATTAGGAGGAAATATTTTAGTTTCTAACTACGATGTATCATGTTATCTGTGGGTTGATAATAGGACATATGGGATTTATCATATTCAGCAATTTTCTTTCTATTTCTAGCTTATTAAGTGTTTACCTCATAAAAAGCTGTTAGTTTTTATTAAATGCTTTTTCTGCATCATTTCAGATGATATCATTGTATATGTCATTTTTTATGTTGTTTTTTTTTCATTCTGTTGATGTCATGTTTACTGATTTGTATATGATAAACTGCCCTTGCATTATGTAAATAAATCCTACTTGGTCAGATTTAATAATTGTTTTGCTGTAGAGCTGAGTTAAGTTTTCTGCTATTTTGTTGAATATTTGTATAAAAAATTCATAAGGAATATTGATTTATAGTTTTCTTTTCTTGTAATGTCTTTTTTTCTGGACTTAGTCTTATGGTATATTTGGCCCTACAAATGAGTTAAATAGTGTCTTATCTTCTTCAGTATACTTTGGAAAGTATAAAAAAATGATTTTTGAAAGGTTTATTAAAATTAACCAGTGAAGCTGTCTAGTCCTTTGTTTTGCTTTAGTGAGAGGTTTTTAATCAGGAATTAGGATTACCTTAGTGATTATAAGTAAAGGTAGATTTTTCTATTGCATTTTAATACAGTATCATTACTTTTTATGCCATAGGATGTAGCTGATTTTTGGTAAATCATCCATGTTTTTGGCATATAGTTACTTATAGCTTTCTCCTAGATTCCTCATTTTATACTATTTTTAATATCTAATTTTCCCTTTTTTTGGTTTAGTCAATGTAGATTAAAGTTTGTAAATTTTGTAGGTGTATTTATTAAACCAAGTTTTGCCTACATGATTTTTTAATCTGTATTTACTATTTTATATTTTACTGTTACCTTAATCATTTGCTGAAATAAGATTGATTTTCTTCAATTCCTTAATACTTACAATTTAATTGTTGGTCGAGCACGTCTTAATAATGTTTACAGTTATACATTTACTTCTGAACAGTATTATTTCTGAATCCTCAGTGTTGTGTTTTGCTTTACTTTTTTCTTGTCTCAAGAAGGTTTCACAATTTCCCATTTGATTTCTGATTCCTCATTTGAATCCTTACCTGCGTACGTGAACGTTCACAAATTAGTGAGCTCTCATGGTGTTATATATCTAGTCATGTTTTAAAGCCCCAGCATGTCTGATTGTGAACATTCTTGTTTTATTATTTTAGTTAGAGCTTTTCAGTATTATGATGAATAAGAGTAGTAGAAGACAACATCCTTGCTTGCGGCTTGACCTTAGAAGTAAATATTTCAGTCTTTCATTATTCATTATGAACCTAGTAGCTATGTGTTTTTATATGACCTTTATTATTAAGAGTTACTTTCCCTCCATTTGTACTTGAAATATTTGTAATTATGAAGCTATTGAACATTGGACACAGTTATTCCCCTGCTGGATGTCTTCCCCAAAGAATTGAAAGCATCACCCCACAGCGAAATATGTACACCCATGTTTATGGCAGCACAGTTTGTAATAGCTAAAACTTGGAAACTGCCCAAATGCCCACCAACTAGTGATTGGATAAAGAAGATGTGTGTGTGTGTGTGTGTGTGTGTGTGTGTGTGTGTGTGTATTAGAGTACTATTCAGCCGGAAAGAAAGATAAACAAGAAATTTACAGCTAAGTGGATGCATCTTGAGGCCATACACTTAAGTGAAATAATGGGACACACATGTAAATAATTAATTGCCTCTCTGTTTTGAGAAACTGAAAGTATAAATGAGGACCAAAATGTATAATAAATATTGTGAAATAGGAAGACAAATTTCAAAGGGGAAAGGGAACTAGGGAGTGGGGCAGGGAAATGGGAAGAAAAGAATTGAAAAAACAAGGAAAGAAAAACAAACAAAGCTTATGTATATAGGGAGGAGTGGAGGGACTGAAGGGAGGGGAAGGGAACGGGAAAAAATAAGAACCAAGATATAGCATGTATAGGTACAAATGCCCAATGGTAAATGTGAGCATAAAGTACACCTAAAATGTACCAAGAAACTAAATAAATCTATTTTAAAACCTCTCTCATTTTTGACAAAATTTATCGTAAAATGCATTAGAATGCAATATATTTAATGTAATTACTTATACATGCTAACTTTATCATAAGAATGAGTGGGGTCCCACAATCCCTTTCTGTGACATGGCACCAGTGACCCCAGTATCTTCCACTAGGCCTCCTCCCCCTCTAAAAGTTCCACCACCCTTCAACAGCATCAGGCACTGGAACCTGTTTTAAGCATAATAGAAACTTGAGGAGCACTCAAATTGAACAAAAGATATGATACCCAAACTACAGTACGTATCGTGTTTAAAAAAATTACTTATTTTATTATTGGAAAGTATTTTCTATTGATTCTGTTGAATTACAAAAGTGAGTAATTGCAACTTTAAAATGACAAAGTGTTTGCTTGATCTTTCCAGTACTTACATATCATTTATTTTTATAATTTAGTGCCATAAGAAAAAATTATAAGTATTTATATTTAATCATGATGTATACATATATTGATATTGAGAAAAATCCTGTGTCTCACAACTCATCATGATGCATAAAAGAGGTCCCTGAGAGAAACTATTAACAAATTAAGATACTCTATTTTTAAATATTTATTTACTTTCATTCCTGTGTTGGGGATTAAATCCAGAGACTTACACACACACAGTAATACAAAATGTGACAATTAAATAGATTCAATACTAGTACCTAGTCAATATTTATTTTTCTAGGCAAACAGTATTAATGGATGGATATATTTGGTGACACAGAATTTTTTATTTAAAATCTTGAAATTCATTCTTAAATAAGTATTATATACAATTTATTTGAGTCTACTTGCTTTTTATAGTTTGGAATCAACACATAAGCAGGAACATTAGCATCCCTGACATTGTTTATAGTAATTTCTCATTCAGTTTTGTTAATATAACCCTGTCTTTATAAGATAGCCCAAATTTGTCACCTTTAGTAGAGAGTCATTAATCTTTTGGAAACTTTTATACATATTTTTGAAAGATATGTACTGTTTATATTGTCTTTCCATGGATAATTCATTGTCACAGCACCACTGAATAAATAGTCTATCCATTTCTCCCTGCTTTTACTGCCACTTGTCATAAGAGAAATTTTCTATTTAGATACATAGATTTACTTATGGAATTTCTACTGTGTTTTATCAGACTACCTCTCCTCTTCTACAAACAATACATCGTATTAATATTTTTCTACTTTTCCATTGTTTTCAAGTACATATGGTTAATAATTAATATGAGTGAGGATTTTTAATAATGGTATTAATTAAATTTCAGTCTTCTTTATCCCAGGTTTTTAGTT